AAAAAAATGAACTTAAATGATTTTAGCATATGGCTGCAATATAACAAAGAGTGAAAAATTTAAGGGGGTCTGAATACTTTCTGTACCCACTGTATTTCATAACAGGAATAAGATGTTGCTACTGTACATACATTCACTTATGGAACTCAAAATATTTGGATACTGACTTCCTTGTCATTGCATAAACTGAAGCATACAAGATAATGGTTTAGAGACAATCATGCACAGGGTGAACATGTAGTGAATGGGTCAGTATTATGGCTGTTTTACCACAGTCCACATTCTGTAATGACCTAATTTTTCAAATAGGAACTTGTGAAGCACGGGCCACCTGAGAAGCTATTAGTTTCCTTGAATAGATTTTGCCGCTGTAAGGCAATAATTTGTTAATGTCAGTGGCATTGTCTTTTTTTTCTTTTTCTTTTTAAGGAGTCCCTGTGCGAAGGAATCGACTTTGACAGCTCAGAAGTCAATACTGGCTGTGTCCGTTTCTGAGTGAAGCTGAAGAAATTTTTCTTCACAGCACAAAAGTTTATACCCAAAGATGGAAAGAAATTTTATTTTGCCAATTTTTTGGAAATGATAGTTAGAGTAAATGTAGGATGAGCAGTTTCTTATGAAAATGTGCTACTGAATGTAACAGCAACAATGTATGCATTAATATGAAAATCAGTTTGCAGTACTGCAGAACATGTTATAAAGTAGACACTGTAAGAATATTTTTATAATCTAAAACACGGGTTCTCAAGTTTTTATAACTTGATAATGATAATAATTACTTTTATTGGCCAAGTATGTCACACACACACACACACACACACAAGGAGTTTGTCTCCGGTAGAGAACCGAGGTAGCCATCTGCAGTGCCAATTCACACACACACACACAAACACACACACACACCAATACCAATGGTGGTACTGACCCTGCAAGGTGTTGCTCTGGCCATCGGGGACAACTAGGGACTCAGTGTATTGCCCAAGGACACTTCAGCATGTGGACTGAGGAGAACAGGAATCAAACCCCTGACTTTCCGGTTGGGGGACAACCACTCTACCTCCTGAGCCACAGCTGCTACAGTTTAAATGATGTTTATTTTGTGTGGGTTTTTTTTTGTTGTTGTTGTTTTTTATGGCGGCGCTGTCAGTCATTGTCAGGCCACCAGGGGCAACTAGGGGTTCATTGTCTTGCCTGAGGACACTTCGACCTATGGGACTGGGGACTGGGAAGAATGGGAATCGAACCACCAATTTTCCAATTGGGAGACGACCACTCTATTCCCCTGAGCCACAGCTGCCACTTAAGGCTCAATTTTGGTTGTAAAAAATTTCCAAGGACCAGTTCCCAAATAAATGAGAAAAAAAAAAAGTACAACACAAAATAAATAAACTTGGCTGTAAATATGTGCTATGGCCACCAGAGGCCCACTGATTGAGAATGGCTAATCTAAAAGCACTTATCTACCATGTACCAACCATCTGTTTATTATTCATATAATGCATATCCCTATAATCCCATTATCTGTTGATATGTTATAGATTTGGTGTCGATTTGAGAGAATGTACTTGGTGGATTCTGAAGGATATGCTGTGTCAAGTGTTTCTTCCTTGAATTTTGAAAGCACTGTATGTTTCGTGTCCGGTTAGAAAATGTTGCCGGACACACTGTATATCAGCAGTAGACAAAGAAATGTGTTCCTGTCACAAAACTAATGTATTGAGCTGGTATTGTCTGTCATGGTAAAGACTAAACCATAAATGTTCATCTGTTGTTCTTTTTGTCTGTGTATTCTAGGAAGGGATTTTGTGGGGGGAAAAAAACATGTTGAAGGTATGTTATGGAAGCAAAACGGCATCATAATGATTTAAATTTATATCAGCATCTGAATAATAGGTTTTGAAATATTATACTTTGAATTCTATTCTGAATTAATGCACTCTGAATTTTACGCAGTGAAATTACAAGTAGAGATTTTCAAGTTTGAAAAATACATAATTTCGATTTCAAACCACACTAATATTATTAAAATAACTCAAATATAAAAATGTATATGTCTAATTTTCAAAAAATATATTCAATGCGTTTATTTCAAGAACCACTTTTCAGAACCAGAAAGTTCAATCAACTCATAATTCAGACTGTGACATTCAGGTGCAGAAATTCAAAACAACATCCGGGACACTGGGTAGTAGCAATCGAGCGACAATGCCATCGATCGGATCCCTGGCCAATCGGGTAAACACAGGTCAGTCATGTGACCCTAGAGGCGGAAGTTTCCTGCTGTGGCGCGAATGAACAACAAAGGAAAGTACAGAGGAGGGAAAGTTTTCACCTGTGATTTTCGAAGTGATGGCGGAGGAGGGCAGTGCGCCGGTAAGTGATAACTGTCTTTAAAACGTTGTGTTAGGGTAGCAATAATCTTGTATCGCACCAGTTTGCAGAAGGACATCTTAACACTGATGAAATTAATCAATAATGTAAAAAATTATTACCCTCTCTCATTAATTAAAAGCTCATTTTGGAGCACTGAAATACGCTGGTCAATTAACGTACAGCAGTCCTACTGTGATATTATATGAGGGTTACATACCAGTGGATTTGTAAACATAATTATGCAAGTATTATGTCAGAATATATTTATATTGTAAAGCCAGATATCCTGAACATGGTATACATGGTATTATCAAAGTACATCTATATATATATTCATGGTGCCTGTCTGCACGCAGGCAAAGTAAATTTGCGTTCCAGAATCAAAAGGTTATGGAGAGATGTGTGGGCAGCAGTGACGAGCATCTATTATGATGTTCTACACTACCTAGAAGAAGAAGGCTTCCTCAACATCTCCAGTGTTCTGCACCTCCTTTGTTGCCATTATGCGTTCCTGCCATGCATTTCCAAAGTGGCTGGGACAACCATCCCATAAGAACTGAGAACCACATGACTCCTGACCAGCTAGGTCACATCTCTTACCCAGTTCCATCACCAGAAAATGTGGAGGTATTTTATTTTAATTAACTGCCTGCTGTTACATTTGTTTACTTATGCAAGAACATCAAATGGAAACTAACTTTTGGCATGACTCTTTTGTTTTTAAGACTGTCAACATTCCACTGATTGACTGGGAGAACAGTGGCAAAGCTGACACCGGAAAGCTGGTGCTGGAAGAGCAGCAGGGACAGGGTTAATTACACTCTTCAACATTATGGAGTATATGACCTACCCATATCTACAACCACATGTCACATGACCAAGTGAGGTCTCATGACACAATAAGACAACAGACCTGAACCTGTTACTATCACTTGTGTCGAAAGGCCAGGTGATGCGCTGAAGAAGAACCTTTATTGAAAACAGCAAAGGGTCAACTACATTTTACTACTATACCTTTTCCATCTGTGAGATGATGCTGAATTAACTTTTATTTTTGCAGAAAATAAAACTGAAATTATAATAAACATCACTTAAGAACAATCAAATAAAATCCTTCAGCTTTGCAACAACAAAGCTTCCATTCAAACCATTGATTCCTAAAGAGTTAGGTGTTTTATCAAACACAAAAAATATATGTCATTCATTTGAGATTAACTCAGGAACAGGGTGTGAAGCTCCTTCACCTGGGAAGAGCAAGCCCACTGTATCAGGTCTTTTTGTTAAGACTGTCCACATTCCATTTGTTGTTCATTGGCGCCACAGCACTACAGGAAACTTCCACCTCTAGGGTCACATGACTGACCTGTGTTTACCCGATTGGCCAGGGATCCGATCGATGGCATTGTCGTTTGATTGCTACCGCCCAGTGTCCCGGATGTTGTTTTGAATTTCTGCACTTGAATTTCTGCACCTGAATTTCTGCACCTGAATGTCACAGTCTGAATTATGAGTTGATTGAACTTTCTGGTTCTGAATAGTGGTTCTTGAAACAAACGCATTGAATATATTTTTTGAAAATTAGACATGTACATTTTTATATTTGAATTATTTTAATAATATTGGTGTGGTTTGAAATCGAAATTATGTATTTTTCTAACTTGAAAATCTCTACTTGTAATTTCACTGCGTAAAATTCAGAGTGCATTAATTAATTAATGCAGAATATAGAATTCAAAGTATAATATTTCAAAACCTATTATTCAGATGCTGATATAAATTCAAATCATTATGATGCCGTTTTGCTTCCATAGTATGTTAGCTATTTCTTGACATTTGTGTTCATAGTATTATACTGGCCAATAATTTGTTTTAATTGCTTCATGCAAATATATCTTTTCTTCTGAAATTATCTTACATCAGCCATTTTTATTTTATAATGGTCAATATATTCTGTGATTATATAATTGGCTGTTATTAAGTTATTGCCCTGCTCAAAGCAGTTTATTGTGCCTTTTTAGTAGACACTGGAAGTGTATTTTGAAGTGGCATGACTTTTTCCCATTAAAAAACATAGAAATTTATAAATCTTTGCAGTATGTGACATTTTGGACTGACCAAAATATGTTAGTTTATTTGTGGTATTGATGTTTGTGTCTGGTTTGGCACCATGAAGATAAACGAGAACACTCTACTGGAGGGACACAAAGTTGTGTTGGTTCCTTACAATGCAAACCACATGCCCAGGTAACATTAACACCTGATCAGTCTTGTTACACACGTGAAGCCTGTTACTTTTTTCTTTTATTTTCCTCTGCTGATATCTTTAGTGATGAGTGTTTGAATGTCATTTCTTTACTATCAATGTTTAAACATGGTAGATGGGCTTTATTTTGACTTCTAAATAAGTCTGCAATTAATAATAGCGGTGATAAAACAATCTCATCACAAGTTCCATGTAGTAGCTTTTCTGCAGCTTTCAATGTATCTACATGGTCACAATTTTTGTGAGCATGTGTAGGAAAGATTTGTACGTAAAAACGTTTTTGAACGTGCGAATAAAATCTGTAAACAAATTATGTTACACAAAGACACTGAAAACAAGCGTGTTTGTGAACATCTGTGTTCAGGCAGAAGCAAATTGCACATACAACTAGGAGCACTGAGATTTAGTGTGAATCACATCTGAATCTGATTGGACAGTGACGGTCCAATCACAGAGCAGAGTCAAATTGTCCAATCAGGTGGTAGCTGGGTTCTTCAAATTAGTTTCCGGTGGGGGTTTTGTAAGTTTGGTTGTAGTGAAGATTCAAGATGGTCGACGTTCTGCTACTCAGGTGAGACGCATTAGAAACTTGTAGAAAATCACAGTAAATGTTGCGTGTGTCGTAGGCAGGTGCTTCGCTGTTAACACAGTTGTTCAGATTTATGTTTTCTATTCCAGGTTGGATACTTTATCTAGCGTTAGCCGAATGCTAATGTAGAACGTTAGCAAACCTCTGCTAGCAAGAAAATTTTCAAGGGTAACCTTAGCCGTCCAGTAGTATTTTGCTTTGCTTAAGCATGTCAATTGTCAGGCTAATTGTGAAACCTGCTCAATCTAGGAGAAATCTCTTAGAGTTGACTTGTAACTTATTCCCTGTTGGATGTGTAGTCTTGTAAATGAAAGAACTCCTCTAGTTTTACGTACCCCATTAATGTAAATGTCTTCTGTATTTACTGTTAATCATTCAGCTCAATAAAAAACGCCAAGCCGGTTTGGACCTCACCGGGTCTTCATCAGCAAGGAAACTTAACAAATTGTTTGCACCTGTATGTTTCCGCCCTGATGAAGACCCACCACCAGTGAGGTCCAAACCGGTCGGCGTCTTTTTACTGAGATGTCCTGTTAGTGGTAAGTGATACATTCAAAATGTTACTTGAATAACAGTGCAAAGTCATTAGCAGCGAAATATACCTAAATTACCAAAAGTAAACGTAGTCACTGTGCAGAACAATAATCGAATGCATTTCATGTTGGTGTATATTTGATCATTTCTGGTGCATTATTGTGTTCATTTTAATGTTGTAGCTGGTAAAGGTAGGGATAATGTTAATGTAAAATTTGAACATCTGGTGAGTAGCTTGTACATTTCTTACCAGGGATTACTGAAGTCTCATGATTAGGCTTATACTGGATATCCTTTTTATTCATCTAATTCTCAAAAGAAACTATCAAGTGAGATAAAAAGGTATGGTAAGAAGCAGAAACTAAAAAGTACAGATGCCGTTACTACATTGTGAGTAGGGGAGGAGAGGCTCAGATGTGCAAGAAATATGAATTGATTAAACAGTTGTCATTAAAACTCCCGTTTAGCCTCCAAGTGCATCATATACCTCTTTCCTGTAGTGTGTCCTCTCTCTCTCGCTGTACCTTTCTGCAGGTTGCCCTGGAGCTCTGTCTCTGATGAGCAGTCACCAGCCACATCGACCTGATCAGTGTTTGATTGTTGTCTTGTTGCTTTTCTCTCTCCCCTATCCACTCAGCCCAACCGGTCGAGGCAGAAGGCTGCCCACCAAGTGCTTGCTCAAGGAAGATTTGTTGGGTTTTCCCTATGTAATAATATTGATAACAGTAAGGTCTAGACCTTACTTTGTAAAGTGTCCTGAGATGACTTTTGTTATTTGGCGCTATACAAACAAGATTTAATACTGAGAAACCTGAATAAGGAATGCAATAGCCTTTAATGAATCTTATTTGTGTAAAATGTGCTAGTTTGTGATCAGAGTAATATAGGACTAATTCTGCCTTAGTTATGTCTGTCCATGTATCTTTCAATAGTCTCGGGTGTGTCACAAGGATGTCAACAAGTTGAGGTGGTCCGAATATTACTAGTACTGATAGGTTCAGCCCCCCCCACTACTTTTGAAAGTGTTTGATATGAAAAGTCTCAAAACATCGAGCACAAAGTTGCTGTTATAGGATATTTCATTCTGACCTGTTTTTCCACTAACTAGGAAGTTTAACCTCTAGAGTCCCTGCGTCCTCATATGAGGACCGCACAGCTTGGGTTTCCAAAGCTCAGGACTCTAGAGGTTAAGACAGCTGTAAATATCTATAAGTGCTTTCCCTCTGCATTTATATTCACATGGTTAGAATGAAGCTTTAGTGAAAACTTCCAGTGTTCATGGCAAATATAATGCAGAAGCTAACTTGTAAGCAGCTTTGAGTTAAAAAAAAAAAAAAAGAGAGAAAGACTGTGCTGAAGTTTGTTCTTCACTGAACTTGTTTAGTCTTGGGCCAAGATGAGTAAGAAGCAAAACCAGACAGTTCAATAGCTTTATTGAAGTAAAACCACAATTAAAAAAAAAAAAAAGCCCTGACAAGAATGAATGTCAAACACAGGGCCTTTTTTTAAATGCACTACTCCGATATGGAGTACCCTCCTTCTTGCATGCTACTGAAGTTTTGGCATAAGATGGGAAATCCCTACTGGTCAAACCTCAAGGTAGACTACCTCAGTTTCTCCATGTGACTTGTCCAGTCATGCAACTCCAGGAGAACTCACAAGTTGCATGACTGGAGAAGTCGTCAACTGTGGTCCAGGCACATGGAGAAACTGAGGTACTCTACCTTGAGGTTTGACCAGTAGGGATTTCACATATTGCCAAAAAGATCAGCAGCTGGATGAGCTGGGATGGAGTGGCTGCAAAAAAAAAAGTTTTGTAAAGCTTTAATTTCAATAATAATATTGTCCATTTATAAACAAACCTGTCTATCCTGCCTGTCCTCATGAATGCTGCTGACTGGCCACAGAATGACATCTGGTTAAGCATTGCCTAAGGGAGAAATGGAGAAGCTCGAGTTTAAAGCATGATATGCTCTACAACGGACATCCTTACACACTGCAAAGTTCCAAATCAATTAGACAAAATCGGGGTAGGAAAACCTGAAATACAAGATGCCATCTCTGAATTACTGGTGGCAAGTCCCAAGAAAAGGCCATACTGCTGATGTCAGAGCATGTAAGGAACATTCACTTTAAACAATTCCCATTTTGTTTATCACAGGGCCATGCAGGCCATGCAAATTTGATCTTCAACAGCAATTTAAATTACTCTGCAGTTGTAAAGCACCACTCCTGTAAAAAGGTTCAATTTAAGCAATGCTAAACTAAAGGAATGTTAAATTTCACTTTGAGAAGCTATTCACAGCAATAAGAATCTGATGCAACATTTCACAATGCTCTGAACAATTTACTTATCTGAATTGTCTGGAGGTTTGTTGTGTGAACACCCAACGTTTTGGGTTGTCTTCAGTGGGCCACATGCCTCCAAGTTCTGGAGTTGATGTACTCAGGTCTTCAGGTGCACTGTACAATATATATGAAGTGTTAAGATATTGTTTTACAGATACTTTCCTTTCATGAAATAAAGGAATATTATGTATACATCTATGCAGAGTATAGTTAGTCCTACTGTTGTGCATATTACCAAAATATAGCAAGTGAGCATGGGTAATAAAGTACTATCAAGTACTAGTACAGTCTCAATACAATTCTGACAAAATTATACAATAATTTTTAGCACCTCTGTAGGTTTTGATCACACCACAAGGTCTATATTCAAAATATTGTATGAAGCCAATAATGGATGAGAAAGCCTGTAATGGCAATTAAAAAGCTAGTGAATCCACCTCATGTCACATTGTCACCTACCTTTCACTGCACCGCTACCTTTATTCATGAACAAAGATGTCCTTCATACAACAATACAATAAAACCACCAACCCATACACTGCATCCTAAAAAAAAAAAGCCTGCAAAGAACATATGCAAAGATGGAGTATTTTGTACAAATCTGCGTATGAAAGTACACCATTGTTTCTATTGTTCTGGTGAATTTACCCACCCATAGCTCAGTAGGGGAGCGTAGTTGTCAATTTGTAAGGAAGGGAAAATGTAAAGCACGAGTTTCCCCACTGTTGGTGATCATCTGGAGAATGGTGTGTAGCCAACAGAGACAGGATCCTCTGGTCACTGCCACCTTGAATGTAGAACAGGAGTAGAAGACAAGTCACAAATATGAAATTTACAATGAAAAATCTTAATTTGAAGAGCACATCTGTGTTTAGTATTTTCTACACAATATCTGAGTTATAAGCACTGAGCTGTGTTAACTTCACGTGTTGTCTCCCTCAAAAAAAAAAAAAAAAATACAATACTCCATTACTTGCAGCTTCATGCAAGTCATCCTCCAGTTAGTCTTAATTTGTGGATTCTCGAGAACCTTTAGCAATTCAGATTTAGATACGAGATTCTCTGCTGATATTTTGAATACGAGTTTAATCTACACAAAACAGGTATGGCAAAATTCCCTAGAAGCAAGTTTTAACAATTAACCTTGTTAAAATGAACATGCTGAATGGCGTACCGGAAGGCTAACCACACATGGAACTAATTAGAGGGCACAGGCCTGGCTCGCCTTCCAGCTGGAAAGGCTTATTGCTAGCAGAGGTTTGCCAACATTCAGTTCCCGCTAACGCCAAGTAAAAGTAGCCTACAGTAACACTACAGAGCCTAGTTACCGCTAGGTCACAGCAACACTTCCTAGAAACAAGTTTTAACAATCAACCTTATTGTTAAAATGAACATGCTAAAGCAAAACAATAACTCATCGGAAGGCTAATCACACATGGAACTACTTGGAGGGCACACGCCTGGTTTGCCTTCAGCCCGAAAGGTTTGCTAGCAGAGTTTTGCTAACGCTAGATAAAGTAGCTTACATGAACTTGAAACTATACATTTATTCAACTGCTTTACCTCAGAGTAACGGCTAAGCATCTACATATACACAGAGAACGCTAAACATTAAAATTTAATTGCAAAAGATCTACAGTAGGTCAACCTCATCAGCGAGCCTTGTGCGTCTATGTCCCTATCGCCAGTTCACTTCCTTCGTTCCTTGGATACTGTTGATTTGCTGCCTAATATACTCCATCCACTGACAGGTGGCTGTACCGAGCTCATCAATGTTATTTACTTCACCTGTCAGTACTGATGGTCCCGACACCCGAGGCTCCCACACATGCGCAGTAGCTCATGAAGCGGTTGTATCAGACCACTATGCCGAGGCGTGGTTTGGTCACGTGACTAGTGACGTTAGGCGCACTTTACTGCCGCATTCCGTATCGAAACCCTGGCTGCGTCCGAAATCGCCTACTACCATACTGTATAGTAGGCGAAAAGCAGTAGGCGAGGCGAGTAGTATGTCCGGATTCGTAGTATTCCAAAAACAGTAGGCGAAAAGTACCCGGATGACCTACTGCTTCCGGTTGGATTTTGCAGTGTGCATACGATGGACACTTCACTATCCCATGATGCCCCGGGAGAGGAGTTATCCAACGAAGAAGACGCTGCTATGAAAACGTATGTCACGTGATGTATCAACATGGCGGATGTAGTACGTCCGAATCTCATTCATACTACCAGGCTTCATACTATACAGTACCTACTGTTTTAACGGTCAGTAAGTAGGTACTTCATCTCTTTCAGTACGTACTGTCACAGTATGCGGTTTCGGACGCAGCGAAAGTCATTGGTTTGGTTGTCTCGGCTCTTTAGGAGAGTTGAATTGAGCCTTCAAGCAAATAGAGAGTGAGTCGACAAGAGATTTGGCTTGACAGTGTTGCATTCAGTACTAAAGATTCTGTTAGAATTGTTAGGTATTTTTAGTCAGATAGAAATTGGATAGATACTTTATGTATTAGAAATGTTTAGTGGAGATAGGATGTCTAGTTAGACTGTTAAATGCTTAGTCATGCTTATGAGTTTCTACAGGGTACATCTGGTCAAGGATAACTAGAGAGAAGAGTTGATGACTGTCAGCAGACAGGATGTTTAATATTATTATGATGTGTATAACTGTAGCCTTAGCCATAATATGTTCTTATGTTTAAGTCACGACGTGTACTAGAAGTCTGTGAGAATGTTTTTAGTTACACACCACTTAATCAACAGACACACACACACACATTGATTTGCTTCATGTTTTGACTACTGCTATGACCAGCTGCAAAGCTGGTAACAGAGACGTCTCGGTTGACGTTTCTGTGTAGTATGGGGCTAGCCCAACCGAGGGGATATAATGTATAGGCCTGGTGGGTTCAGGGTCTTTCATCTTACATCTGCCTGCGAGCAGGTTGGAGGTGCAAGATACCTGAGCGTGTAATGTTAATTTTACCTGTGTTCATGGAATAAATCAGCACTGTTTTGTAGTTACTTGGACTGTCTCCTCTCTCAGAGTCAGTATGGTAAAAAGTACCGGGTACAACAATTCTATAACATTACTAAACCATGTTACTCGGAACAAAGGATCATGGAGTGTAGTAGCCAACTTCCTCAGAAATCGCAATAGAAAACAATCTGTTTGATTGTAACTGTAAACCCAGTTATACTGTAGTATCTGAACATTACAGTTAAAATATTAAACACTGCACATTGTAAAAAGACTAACCCTGAAAACTAACAGCAAAAACGCATTACATTATGTTGTATAGAGTTTGGGACACAGCTACAATCTCACCATTGGATAGAATAAACTGAATTTAAAATGAACAGAAGAGAGGCCTCTTAAACAGCAGGCATTTTGTTTCACTGTAGGAGAAAAAGCACAGGTATATCACAATGCTGACTCCTTCCTACTGACCAAATAAATACACCATGGCCCTAAAGCTGTCACAAATACAGCCAATATTCACATTATCTCTGTGCTTTTCCTGACTTACTGAGATGCGCAATACCGACACAGATAGTATTACAATAATTAACAGGAAGTGTGTTGAACAGAATTGTAATACACAAATGAACTGAAAAAAAGAGAGAAATGGCTGCTACAGAACAACTCGTACACAACAATGTTGACTATAACTTTTAATTGTGGCGCAACACTGAAAATATCAAGTAAATCCAGTTATTCTGTAGTGCTTTGTGTGCAACATTCATTGTTATTGTCCTTGAAGAGTCATGACAACTTGGTTAATACAAATTACAAAATGCCATTTCATAGTTTCATTTTTATGCAAGCTCATAATCCATACTCGCTGTTAAACTACTTAAGGTAACAGATGTAGGGTACTCCAAACAATGAAATAATTTGATTTATTTCCCCTTTCTTTCATATATTCCCAACACCTGCTCTTAAAGAAAGCTCCACTCCAGTTCTCCGCTGTGATGTGACATGTTTTTGGCATCACCTCAGTGCCAATACTGTGATCACAGGTATGTGGAATATCGTAATGGCCTCCTCCAGCTAGCCATAATATAACCGCATTCATGATCCCTATAGGCAGTGAGTATCAAGTAAGCAAAGAGATGATACCTCTCTTTAGCTGAAAATGTGAGAACATATTCCATTTGTGCAAAAACATACAGTGGATCAGAGTAGCAGTTTGGACAAGCACTACTACTGGAGCCCAAAGAGCCATGCTATGGGCTGTAAACGTGAGATTAAAAATTAAAACTGCAAAGGAAATGGCCAGTACTGATTAACAAAACTTATCAAGCATGGACTGCCGCAACAGTAAATGCATTAAGGCTACGTTCACATTACATGCCGAAGTGATCAAACATATCGTAAACAAGTAGTTTCTGAGGAACTTGTACAATCTGACCTTTGTACTAATGACACAGCTCATATTTCACTTAAAATCTGAGAGTTAATGGTTTAGGACCTCAAGTGTTTACAAATGCAGCCAGATATATATCACTTAAAGGCATAAATGTGAACCATGAACACAAAAAGATCAGATCTGACAGGAACAAAACCCAAAGTGATCATTAAGGCCTGCAAAGTGAACGTAGCCAAACAACTCATTTCCACTGGGTGTCACTGTCACATTCGTCTGTGATGCGTATTGCTGTGTCCTCCGCAGGGCTTCGTCCCACACCACGTGCGGCTGTGGTGCAGACTTGTGTAGGCTTTCTTCTCCTTGTTTTTGAGCTTCTACAATGAGTAGGCTGCGTAGTTAAATGCTTTCATTTTTGTCTGTTTTAACTGTTTATTGATTTGCTGTAACCTAAGTTAGGCTGAGTTAACAGTTACAGTTGTTATGAAATGCAGCTGCACCCAGTGTAAATGAAGGGTTATTGAGAAAAATCTCTCCTACAACATCACTCGCCTCAGATTTCTAGTCAGTACACTGTCCTTTCACCATGATTGTTTAGTAATGCAATGGCCAAACACCCCACAATGCTTTGTGTTTTTCTAAACTTGCAGCAATATAAAACAGCAAAAATAAATTCAAAAAGATGAGTTCTTCCAGCATGACAGATGACAATTGCTCACCAGTTACTCCTGATAACTCATCGTTCCAGTGGAGAAAATCAAAGCGCTATACAGTAAATTTTATGAAATGTTTTGTTTCAGCACCATAATGTTAAAATTTTGTCTAGTTTAAAACAAACTTGCAGATAAATGGCATTGCAACATCAAAAAGGAGAGAAAATTTGTAGTAACTGGGATAATTGTGGATCAAAATTTGCTATATGTATTTCAAAATGCATAACTGCAGTCTCAAAATCCATTCCCACTGGCCACTGCTCATTAAATTCAAAAGGATGTCACAGATAGCACATGTGTATATACGTAGATAAATCCAGCTTAGCATTATTACAGCCCATCTGTTCTGAACAAGTCAAACCAAATTATCAGTTCTAAGTATCGGAAAAGTTCCTAACAAACATGTCCACAAAGGATAATAAAAAACATGCTACATAACCAACAAAATGAGTAACAGTCAAACTTAGTGTGTCGTGTCTAAGACAACAGTGAACAGGACCACAAAGTGCAAATAATTCTTAGTGGGTGTTTTAAACTATTTGTAGAGCCAGACGGTGGGGTTTCGTCACATACAGTATATAAAAGCCATCAGTCTCAATACAGCCCAGCCACTGAGTCATCTAAAGAGATTAAAACATGTCCTAAGAATTGTTTGCATATTTTACTTGACCAAGTTAATCAGATCTGAAACTATTCTATCAGACATTATTGTTTAATCACATCAGAACAATTAGCATTTCTACCAAAGAGGGTCAGGGCCACTGTAAAAAATCTACTTTGCGTCCTGTAGGGTTGCAGCGGTATCCCAGTTTCACAGTATGAAAATTATCATGCCATGCAAATTTAAGTTTTAGGGGGTATTAAAGGAAAAAACCCAATGCGATTTTTTTTTTCCATTCTTTTATCATCAACTTCCAAAATACTATGCCAAAAAAAAAACTTCTTTGAAAAGAATTATATTTAAGCTCATTCATTATAGATAGGCTAATAGCTTGTAGGATTTACAATACTGGCTTAGCCTAGGCTACAGGCCTATTTGTTTACATTTCTCAAGCAGTTTCTGAAGCTTTCCAACTCCTGCTCAGTACATGTATATACAGTAGTTACTCTAATTAATTTAAGTGTGTTCTGGCTTTAAAACAAACAAAAAAGTCAGAACTCATATTTTTACTGTGGCCCCAATCCTCTCCCATACATTTCTGACACTGTGAACTGAGAGCAGTTAAAAAGTAACACTGAGCAGGCTGAACACAGAAGTTGAATCCCAGTTCCCCAATTGCATCCATGTTTCCCTCACTGGCATCTTAGACCCCGCCCATGTAAAATGCGAGGGGAGAGGAACCGAGGAAACATGTTTTAACTGACATCCTTTCCTCTGGTCCTTCATCTGAAGTATCTAATCTCAAATTGATTTTCAATACAGGGGCATGTCAACCCGTAACAGAGTTCCACACTCATGTATCCTCGATTATAGCTCCTCCACGCAGCCTCCTCACTTCTTGCTCCTCAGAGCAGATAAGAGGTTTAAGATGGATCAAGTGGAGATAAAGGACTGAGGAGTGATAAAATAAGGGAACTGGGATTCACCTAGAGTCTGCAGATTATCCATAGATGTTGCAGGACAATGTGAGGTAGAGGATCACACAAGCAGACAAACAGTGTTGCCAGATGTGGGGTGCAGGGGTTGGTGGTGGTTGAGCAAAATGTTCACACTTCACCAAAATTGGTGTGGCCTGTCTCCTTAGCATGCTCACGAGCTTCCTTTTGTCCCACCAGGCCTGTCTGGCACACCATGCAACGCAATGCAAAGCGGTTAACGTCCGTGAACTGTCGTTTACGGCGAGCCTCATCTGCCAACTCCAGGGCCTGGGCCAGGATTATGTCATCTGTGGTGGAGAAGATAGTCTGGGGCGGGGCGTCAGAGCCAGGGATCTCTTTCTGGAGTGGGTCATAGTGGATGCCATCATAGATGAGCAGCACACGTTTGTGGTAGCCAGCATCCTCCCCAAATCGATCCACTCGGACTGTCTGAGTGTCCACCACACAGATCTCACACTGGTAAAACTTGGAGAGGATGGACACCTCGATGGCTCCTCCCCAGGTGTCATCACGTTTTATCCAGGAGCAGTACTCCTCGTTGGTCTTTCCTAACACAGCTTCGCAGTAAGCCGCAGGGTCACTCGACACAATCTGAGCGATGAGGCCTCGCATCTCAGGGACACAGGCAGGGTCATATACACCACCTTCCACCACATAATACACACTGGTGAAGAGGCAGGAGTTGTCAGCTGGGACCACCCGGCGTGCCAACACAGGTGAGGCTTCCAGGCATGGTGCTTTTGTCACAGTGGGACGATCCTGAGGCTTTGGCTTGTTTTTTTCTTCTTCAACAATGAGTGTGTCTCCTGTAGAGGATAACACCATCAAGCCTGGTCATACCTTAGTAAAGACACTAAGGAGAAAAAACATCTATATTGTTTGTTAGTGATGTTAATAAAGCAGGTCAATTGATCTTTTGCGCAGATTTGAAATGTCTCAAATGTAAATCAAAAGAGTCACTGTCCACAGGTAAAGATCATCTCTTGTAAAACTTACTTTAACATTAATTCAGAACTACACTACTCTTGAAACATAATGGAACATAAATAAAATAGACTGAAGAAGCAACCAAGGCACTCATCTCTAAAAAGCTAAAATGGCTTTATTATTCTGGCAAGTTCTGAAAGCAGAATATCATTAAAAAGGTAACTGAAGCATTTTGGCATCTGGCCTTCAGAGGAAGGTGAAATCATTTAGTAATCAAGACATGACCAGACTAGTTAGTTAGCCACAGTCCCTCACTTTTAGAAAACCTAATGGAGACACCAGAGGCAGCATCCCCCGATAGAGAACACATGTAAAAACATAGGAAACAGTGAAGCATCTATATCAGAAGCATACACAAGCTGTACAAATGAATGAAACATCACCTTCCTCTGCCTACTTAAGTTTGCCCTGCCATTCTTTTTTCTGCAACCTTCTGAAAAAAGCTAGATGCCGAAATGCTGGGAATTTCACTTTAATCATCTTCTGTTTATAGAACTTGCCAAAATAGTAAAGGCATTTTTAAAGCTTTTTAAGAGATCAATGTCTTGGCTGCTTTATCAATCTGTTAAGAAAGTTCCATACCCTCGACCAAAAAGCACAATCTTTTTTGTCTTAAAATTGCTAGTTCCAAGAATCTCTCCTAATCTATGGACCCTTACGTAATTAAAATAATCAAATACAATAAAGGGTGTGATTTTGACAGCATACCTGATTTGATGGGGTAGTCCTTGAGGTGAGCATCTCCATTTCGAAGATCGAGGCTGGATGGTGGGTAACCAACCATAATTTTCTGCACATCACAGGGAATACCAGTCAGCTCCTCCACCTTAGTCTTCAGCTCTTGGACGCAGGACTGATGAGTCAAACCCTGCATTATGTGGCTCCCATTTTTTGTTTTACAGCGAAGCCGCAACATCTTGCCTGCAAAACAAAAAATGCAATGACAAATCTGTAACACTGCAAGACAGGCACAATAAATTTTACTGAACCACCAATTTGTTGACCACAGATTGTAAGGGCTACTGAGGGAGGATTCCTGGATATCTCAAATTATAAATAATATTATAATTTTCTTTTTTAATTACTATCAAAGCCAGACTGGAATGCATCAAATTTTATTCATATGGAGTCATAATCTTGTTTCTGCTATGACCTTTTTTTTTTTTTTTTTTTTTCTTACAGACTACCCCCCTTTTAAAAGGTGTAGTGCTCACCACCCGCACATGTCTTTTACCCATCAACAGGTCAGTCTTTTTGGAGGCCTGCGCCTTCTTGTTGACCTTCTCACCTCCGCTGTACCCCC